TGGTCTCAATCATAACATAGGACCCAGTTTCTCGGGGTTGCGATGTTCGAACGTGCTGAATAGGAGCGGAAATACCGGAAAGAAAGAATTAACATGGCGTCTCAGAATATTCCACTGTACACCCTCGAAAATACTACTACTTCTGGTCCTCAGACTGAGTTTGCACAGGGAGATATAAACAAGGTTTTATCTACCACAGCTGCTGGGCTTTCGATAATCGGAGCCCTTGTCATCATAATCACATTCGTGATGTGGCCCGATTTGAGAACAAACTCACGCAATATTATCTTGTTTATATCAATCGGCGATCTTTTCGTTGCAATCACGAACATCGTCGGCGTTTATGGACACTCTCATAATTTAACGTGCGAAATTGAAGCAACATTAAACATCGTGGCTATTTTGTCGTCGTTCTTTTGGACTGTCTTCTTGTCGGTTTACTTCTACGTGACTATTTGCAGGAAAATCTCATTGGAGATGGAGGCTCGAATGATGAGGTTTTTCCACGTAACAGCTTGGGGGATTCCTCTCTTATTAGCAGCAATAGCCCTTGGCGACAGAGCAGTAGGAAATTCAAACGATTTCGTGTCTTCAGGGTGGTGTTGGATAAAATACAGGCAAGATTGGTGGAAGATGAAGTTGTGGATGTTCCTTGCCGGAAAGGGCTGGGAGATCTTAGCTTATGTTACCATTTGTGTGTTTTATGTGTTGGTCAAGTTGCAAATAAGGCGAGAGGTACGAATGATTTATAGGATGAAATGATAGGATAGAAGGGGAATTAATACAAATAAGAATTGAAAATATAGTCCTTCGTGTTCAATTGATTTATAATGGTAATTGAACTGAGTGGAGTGCAATTTGTACAGGTAATCACATGATTTCGAGTGCAACTTGGAACTAATAAGCACGAGTAAATTTTTTCAAAGGCTAACATAGCTTTAGCTTTAAGATAGCTTTAAAATCTCTTTGATAGGGAGTCAACATGCGTAAACTACGTGCAAAAATAAATTATTCAAATGCCGCAAATATCATCACAAGTGCAGTCAAAACAACATTTTGCTCGATGTTTTTAAAGTTTGCAAGCTGCAGAAACGGGCTGAACAGTTCATGGAATTGTTCAGTGTGTTTGAATTAAAGATTTTGGGTTATTACCTCAAGTTTTCCACTCTTCCAGAGAATTTCTTCTTCTTGCCCCTCTCATACTTGTTGAGCTTTGTTTGGGCGCTTACCACGGCCAGCCAAGCGAAGCTGTTTCTCTTTGTCCTCTAACACCTCTTTGGACGAACTAAATTCTCAGTCACATACAATGGACAGGGTGCAGCCTCTGTTCTTTAAGTGTCTATCAAGCAATGCCATCATTACTTTAAGGCTTTCTGGTTCATAATCTTCACCTTTTTATTTCGGCATAGAAATGCTCGAGCAAAGTGTCAAGCTCAGCCGGCTCATAATTTTCTATTTCATCAGTACTTTCGTTATCTACGCACCAATTCTTCCAGACAGAGAGCCAAAAACCAGTGCTTTTCCCCGTGTTTTCGTTTTTAGAACAGTTTTTAAGCTCCTCTAAAGTTGTTTCGGTCGCAAAAGCAAATGCACTGCAAACACCAACCATTGCGGCTTTTGCTCGAAACTGGTCCGGAGCGGATCCAATTTTTGCGCCTTTTAGAAGGCGCATTTGATTGGTTCTCAGTGAGTTCCTTTGTTTATTAGCCAATCAGAATGTCACGTTTGTTACTCTTTTCTGCAATAAATTACCTTTTTTCTGCACTCAATTACCTTCTTTCTGCACTCTGTTACCTAAAAACTGCATTTCTGTTAGCCAATCACAATCGAGAAATTTCTTCATGTATATTATTAGGTCTGAAGTCATACAAGTGATTTCAAAATGGGACAAGCATGCAGCCCAGGTTCAATTTGAAATCACAAGTATGATTTCAGTCCAAAATTGCACTCCACTCGTGCTAAAGAAATGGTGCAATTTAAAACAGAAAGGAAATGAAATGAAATGATGCAATTTAATTAATGGATTGGTTTTCTGATATTGGTTTGTATCTATTGAACATGCTGGGAAATAGATATATGAAAATTCATTGAAAACAATGCAATATTGCAAGGCTTGGCTCTTAAACTCAGTAGCTCCAAATGAAATCCACAGTGCATAGTATTATTTTAATTTTTACACAAACTATTAGATTTCCTTACCACCTGTAGTTAAAAGTACCTCATTGTAACCATCAGGTGTTGCTATCTCTGTATTACCTCCCTTCAACTTCCACCCCCTCTCCACCTCCAGGGAAGGTACTCCAGATTTCAAGTGACAGGGATGATCGAATAATGGCAAAAATCAAAACCCAAAAAAAAACCCCGACCAAAAATTAAAACCCCAAAAAACTCCCATGCAGAATCCGAGTCTAAGAAATTCCAGAAGGCATCAAATGATATAAAACAAAAAATAAAAACATTGTAAATTGAATGTTTGTGTTTGTTTTTTCATCATACCAATATCTGAAATTATCATTTGCAGACTCTACCATGAATCTTCAGATTGTTTTGAATGCCAAAAAAAATCCTTACTTAAATCAAGCCACCACTGGAATCGAAAATTTCAAACCCAGAAAAATCCTCTGATCATTCCTCCTGGGCTTGATTGGCCTTAACTTAAGTAAGGTTGACCAAAATTAGAGCTTGGTTTGTCCCATGAAAAGTTTGACTAGGCCTTAATTTTTAATACTGAAAAGGTTGTTCTCCTGCCATGGTGAAAACAATAGCTGATTAACAACAAATTCCAAAACTCAGAGCAAAAAAAATTAAATATTTTGTTTGAAATATCACTCAAACTTCATCAGCGATTGTAAAATGAGTGAGATTTGGATACATAATTTAAATGTTAGAAGTACAATGTTTTATCAACTGAAATTTTGACTAGGCATATTTTATTAATTTATATGGTTTTGTACTACACGATGGTGTAGCACTCTTCAGGTTAAATAGCCTAAATTATATATGTTATGTATTCCCAAGAAAGGAATTGTAAAAGGCCAGGTGTTCTCTTGTTCCTCATTAGAGAGGGTTTTCTCTGTTTGATAGCAATGCCTTTTGACACCCCACCTAATGGCTTAAAACTTTAACATTGTGTGTCAATAATATTCATCATACATCATTTTTGTTTTGATTGAAGCTAACTGTTATCTTTATTCCATCCAACTATCAAGCATTTGTCAGTCACCTTCTAAGAGAGCGTCTCCAATTGGTGTTTTAAGATTTAGGAGTGGAGATGAATAATAATGATAAGTTCTAGAGTTCAACAATTTTGCTATGTGGAATTCAGGAATTTCTTTTTTTTTTGTTTTAATCACTGATACCCAGTAAGAACAGTGAGCTGCGGTAAGCTATGTCAATACTAAAATTAAAAACTGAGTTGTTTTCTGATTCTTATATAGAAGTGAATATGGATTCTCTTTAGCCCTTTAACTGCAAGAAGTGATTAGCATATAACTTCTCCTTTTTACGTTTAATACCTTGTCCAACAGATAGGGGGAGAATAGGCAAATTTATCAGCCAAAGGATACCATATTGATATAATCCCAAATTCTCTTAACTATTGAGCAGTAAAATGTATTACAGCCAGAAAACAGAATTACTAATAAGATCTTGGGAGTCTTTAAAAAATATTGCCCATCACATCAACTCACCTTCATCTTTTATTTTCTTTTTATTGACTTTCCATAGATGAAAATGGGAATTGCTTCAGGAGGCCATTTTTTAACCCTCAAGTCTATTGAGGTAGTAAAAAAGGCAGATCGTAAGTTAACATTCATACCTGTGGTGTTTATTTTACTGCGTATGTGGGGAACCATAAGATTTTTCCGTTTCCTGGCTTATCACCCTGAAAACCCTCCAGCATTAAAGTGGCTTGTTATACTTCATGTAAGTATGATGGTGAAATCTTCTCTTTATAATGAATGATATGTCTACTAAACACTCAGATTCATTTTAGGCCACAAAGGTTTGGGATCAGGCAGGTTTTTACTTTAAAAATCCCTAATAAAAGTCAACAACACAAGGATGTTTCACATTCCCTTTGTGCATGTTAAAGACATCAACAAACTAATACCTCAATCACCTCAAGTTCTTGACTGCTTAGCAATCCTCTCAAGTGCTTTCACAAATCAATAGTACATGCTGAACTGTTTACTGTGCATTTTATAACATAACCTAAACTCAGGAAAACCTTTGAATTTGCTAACACTGATAGTAGCCCATATATGCCAACTCTCCCAGATACAGCCCTGTTCTCCTGCTCTCCTGTACAGGTCACCAAAACTCACAGATAAAATGGACTTTTGAGCTTTTCTTTGCTTTAGTTTGAAATTTAGCCCATTTTTTTTCCTCATAATTCAATCTTTGTTATTCATTGTATGGTTTCTGGGACATTTTTGCATGTAGTTAGTCACTGATGACAAAGAATATTTTGTCATTACAATGATAAAAGCAAATTTTGAGAGCATTTACGTCATGTAAGGCTTCATAAAATGTCCTAAGCCATGGCGGCTGGGTCAATTTGTGGTTGAGCACCTATTCGATGCAGAAATAATATTGTAGAAGGAATGCTGTCAAAAACTTTGTTGAGTGGCAACAATAACATGATCTTTACTGTAACTGATAATAACTTTCTCATTTATATTTTAATCAATTCCAGGGTATTGGAGACAGCAGCCAGGGTTTTGCCAACTTTTTCTTATTTTGTTTGTTCACTGACAAAATAAGGAAAAAATTCAGACAATGCTGTGAGCGGTTCATACCAAGGTGCAGTGTTGAGGAGAAAGATCCTATGTTAGAGAGCACAAACTTGGCATATGGGGCAAGAGATTTCTACGCTTAAATGGTATTCTTCATGTCATTAGCCATGACATAGTTTAGCTATCCATTTATGATCAACACTGGTAGCAGCAACCATGTTATTTAGTTTGCATCTGCCTTGAATAGCTTGCAGGGCTTCTGAGAGAATAAGACCACTTCTCACATGCAGCCAGAGGTCAGCCTTTTTGTTGGGTACATGAACCCTCACTCAAGAGCTCTGAGGAACCATTGGTGTCTGACCAATCACGTTCATGGTACCCCAGCTCCAGGGATCCAATCTTGATAATATTATCAAGGATTAAATGTGCATACAGCTTCTCAGCGGGATGTTCACATGATTACAAAATAAATTCTGGCACCCTAGAGATCAGGCAAATGACAACCTTCTTACACTACTTTACCTACAGTTTCGTTATCTGACCCCTGATTGGTTTTTTGCTTGTCTCGTGAAGACATTCCAGAGATGTTTCTGGTGTTCATGGTTTTTTTAAAGTCAAATGTAGGAATCAATACCTTTGTCTTTCCAATTATATTGTACAGCTTTTAAAAAGTGCTATTAATAGTTTTGGCTTAATAATTAAGAACTAAAGCTTGGCAATTCACTCATTTAAGTTAGTTATTATAAGTTTATAAAGGTAACTAAAGAAATAGTAATTGTTACTGCTATTATTGCTTGTCCACTTGTTTAAGGTAACCAAAATACTGGGGTAACCATAACACTCAGCAAGGCCGTTACCCTAACCCCGGGGGGGTATTCCTGGAATTCATGGTAGAGGTGTGCTGCCTAGTTCTCCAAATCCCGACCCTATTTCAGACCAAAAACTTGTCATTTTCCACACCCGTTTTCAGACCTGACATAGGCAGAAATCATGTTATCATTACTTAGACTAGAAGGCTGACAAAAAGATTGCTTAAAATCTATTTCGAATTCGCATATTACTCTATTTTTTCTTTTTTTTTTAGAATTGAAACGGCAAATATGTTTTTTTTAAATTCGTATTCCCTCAAAAACCATACCCGAATTCAGACCAAAATAGGCAAAGTCTATACCCGTTTTCGGACCAAAACAGTGCAAAAACCCCATCCTTTGGGGCGCCATATACCTCTAAGGGAAATATAATGGAATTCCTCCCCTCCCCGTCCCCTAACCGTATCTGTCTTGAATTAAAACACGTGTTATTAAAGAAAAAAGACATAAGAGAGGTGATAGGGTAGTCAACCATCTTGCCAAGGTAACCTTAGCAATTAGCCCAGGGGGGTACTCCCTTATATGAGTCATATAGGTATGTGCCACCCCAAAGGGTATGGTTTTTGCGCCGTTTTGGTCTGAAAACGGGTATGGTTTTCGAGGGAACTACAGGACTACATGAACGTATTTCTCATTTCAATTCCAAATGAGTAAGAAAGAAAGTAAAACAAGCGAATTCGAAATGGATTTTAAGAAATCTTTTTTGTTTCTGTTCTTATCTAAGTAATTTCTTTGCCAGGTCTGAAAACGGGTTGGAAAAATGACATTTTTTGGTCTGAAATAGGGTCAGGATTTAGAAAACCGGGCGGCACACCCCACCAAGAATTCTCAGGAGTACCACCCGGGGCAATTAGGTTACCCTCCATGAACTTGTCTATAAGGCTTTATATTTATTTATTCTACCTCTTTTTTTTCCTTTTTTTCCCTACCATATCACTTGTAAATATTTCTCTTTCCGTGTAAATAAAATGAAATGAAATAAACTAACCAAAGAGTAGGACTGACCACCAGTTAGTAACTGCGTTGCGTTGGAGCATCTCACTTGTTCCACACACATTCACATTGGGGGCCACCTAGTTAATGCGAGAGACATACATTTCCAAGAAATACTGAGAAAAAAAGGTTCTGTTATTCCTTGTCACATAGCGCACAGCATTCAAACGGATTGATTATGTGCCTGTGATATCTGTATTCAGAGGTATTCGGTCACGTATTAACTCAATATACCAGCAGAACGAGTTACACAGCAAAGCTAATCCCATTAATAATAATAATAATTAAAAATTTATAACGCACCTTTTCCATGTAAATATGATCAAAAGCGGATAGACTGATGCTTTAAATGGTAAAAGAAAGGAAAAGCTGAGATGAACATAGTAATTACAGCTAAAAAGGTTATAAACTTTTTTACCATTGTCTTTAGATAGGTTAAAACGTTGGTGATTTCAAATTGCTTAAAAAATCGGAGGTTCTTCCCAGATTGTTTTGATTTCTGTTAGGTTAGTTATGGTTCTGAATTTTATCCCAGGAATGAGTGTAATAGGGGCCGTTGGTCAGCTTATTGTACTGATAACTCAGTCCAACAAGCCGTTAGGGACTGAACTAATAACAAGCCAGTTTTTTTCTGTTCATGAACTCTTTGAGCGGCACTGTCAGGAGTTTCTGACCCAAGAATATTAATCAGAAAAGTTTTGTTCCCATTGAAAGGACCTACCAGTTCAAATTTTTGAGGTGATATGTCGGATCGGCACAAAAGATTCCCGCGATAAGTGTTACTTGCATAAATATACACCGCAGTTTCACACACAGGCGTCCGTGTGGAATCACGTCCCTTGTACAACCTCTGACGTCATCAATGTTTCATTTTAGAAAGACACTTTCAAATCATACTCAAACGAGGGCAGAGAGGAGCGGAGAAAATTTTGATGAAAATCTTGGTCTACCTCATGCCAGTAATTCTTTCATGTCACTGCGATATGGATTTTTTGGAAAGAATTTCCACCAAAGAACCACCAAAATGAAGGCTAGTGAATATGAGTAAATACCCAAAAAAGGAAAAAAACGAGGACAAAAAAAGAAAACAAGTGGGGAAGGGAGAACGAAGCGAAACGTCAGTGGGGCAGTCGCAGAAAAATTTCGGCTTATCCTCGATGTAAGAACCTGTAAAACTCACGAGTGAAGTAAACCAAAGAAGTTATAGGAAAACAAAAAGTGCACAAAACGAAAAAGTTCATAGGCTCTTAAATTTTATCCTTTTTCGACACCAGGAAAAAAAAAGAGATACAAGACTCGACTTGATCTTGTCCCCATGGCTGTTGTTTCGTGTTACCCTTGTTCTAAACTCTGGATGACAATGACACTTTGGATCTCTTCTCTGTTGCGCAAGACCAAGAACGAGAGGAGCATTCTCGTCATCAGAGCCCGTCTTTCTTTTGGTCATGTGGTCTTGAAAATTAAACCGAGTGGCGCTGGGGACGAGAATGGAAGACGTCATGGAAGAGCGGTCAAAACGAACGACTGAAAGGCTCTGGAGTCGAAATATATGGGTACCTTACCTTGGCGATTTTTTTGTTGTTTTTTTTTTTTCCTTTCCCCCAACATTTTCGGGCTAAGCGTTGGTAAGACTTTAAGGATAAGGCTTTGATTACTAAACAGGAGCCCATGCATTCGTCCACCTTTAATATTTCACGGTGACATACGAGACTCTCAGAAGCCATTCTATTTGCAAGGCCTACTCGCGTACTCGAGGAAGGGTTCACTCAAGAAATCAGTGGACGCAAGCGATCACCCAATGATTTAGTAGTTACTTATTTGAAATGGCCACTTACGAGTCATTTAGCCTACTGCGATACTTGTATACATCGGCCACCCTAACAAAGAAAGAGAGAGCTATTAAGACTGTGGAAACTGGCATGATCTTCCCTGGGCGTGGTCGAATCGTTTACAAGCAGGAGCCGATATAAGTTAATCATATCAAGGAAATTTCATGTGATCGATAATTTGCTTTCAACAAACACTCGTAATTAACGTAACTAAACAGTAGTTCTATAGTTCAGGAGCCCATGACTAGGAACCTCTATAATTAAATCTAGTGCCTATTGGCACTAATTGGGGACAACTTTAAAACTAAATTACATCATTAAAAGAAACTAATTAAATACTGTAAAACATATAAAAAAGCCGGAAATTAACACTATTCAAGCTAACTACTCTCTTACACTTTAAAACTAAGTTCTAAATTTACTCATTACACTTTGAAGCTAAGTTATAAACGAGACTCTCGGAAGGTTCCAACTTAGAGTGTTACGTGACTCTCGCCTTGTTTATCAGTGGGATACTTAGTGCGCGTAATCCTTGCTGCATGACGAAGCTGGTGACAATCACGAACTGTAATATACGTGTCAAAAGAAATCCAAGCTCTGCTTCACGCACAAACGATACACGAAGGCTATGGCCGGGTTCGAGGCAACGTTCCCGGCAGGAACAACATTAACCACCGCAACAACTCGAAACCAATCAGAAATCTCCAAAGAAATCCTTGACAAAGTCTTAACTACAACCACTGCTTCGTTGTCGATTGTCGGAACGCTTGTTATTATGATTACATTCGTGCTGTGGCCAGACATAAGAACGAACTCACGCAAAATCATCGTGTGTATATCAATCGGAGATTTTTTCGTTGCGTGCTCAAACATTTTAGGTGTATGGGAAAGAGAAATGGATCATTGGAAAAGTTCGTGCGAAATACAAGCAACGATTGGCATGGTAGCGGTTCTTTCCACCTTCTTTTGGACAGTTTATTTGTCGGTATATTTTTATCTGGTTATCAGCAAGAAAATATCCGTAGACTCAGAAAGGCGAATAATGCTGTGGTTTCACTTCACTGGCTGGGGAATTCCTTTGGCGATAACAGCAATCGCTAAAGAAAATAGGGCCACTGGATATTCAGGGGATTTAGTCTCCTCGGGATGGTGTTGGATTAGTTCTGATCAGCCCTGGTGGAAAATGCTTCTGTGGATGGTCATTGCTGGAAAGGGATGGGAGATCTTGGCGTACATTAGCATCTCTGTGTTCTATGTGTTGATCAAGTTGTCTATAAGGCGAGAGGTACAGTAACAGACGGTAGTAGTTTCAGCTATTTGCTTCGCTAGGGTAGTTTAAGGTCACCTAACGTACGTCTACTTATACTGTCAAACTGGTCTAAACTGTAATTTCTCATTCTTTATTCTCTTCGAGCGGAGACCCTTCAATATTCCTTGACTTATCGTGGGGGGAGAACTGAAGGGACTCTGCTGGAAAGGTACTTCTTGTCAATTAATTTTCCTTGAAACAATCACCCCAGTTTATTCTTGTCACGTTTCACAGTGTTCGTGACTAAAATCAGCTAAACAACAAATACCGTATTTAAATAATAAATGAAATGATATGTGTGGAGAGAAGAACCCGGAAAAAATTCTGAGTTGCAGATGGGAACTCAGAAAGTTCCAGATGGGAATTTCCTCGAATAATAGCCGTCCCTCGATAAATCGAGGGACGGCTATTATTCGAATAAATTTTTTTTTTCGTCTGTCAAATGCTTGAAAGACGAAATTAGCAGTTAGCTTGCTGACATGTGAATCAGTATTGTCAAAAAGTTAACAGACCTTATCATGGATATTGTAATTTGTAAATAATGTATTTCGGTCGTTGATTTTAATAAAAAGAGTCTTCCTCAAATCATTATATAGATTACAGTGAAACAATATGTGCATTTCATTTTCAACTGAATTTAGGCTGCAGTGATGACAGATTCTAAGGTCTTCAGGAGTTTTGGGAATTGTAAATCTTCCAGTTTCTATTTTTATATTACGATTTCCTATATCCTGTATATCCTAAATTTGGAAGCCACACGCCTATGTTCAGGATTCGGGATATGACTGATGAATTCAGAGTAATTTGTTTCATTTTTAAAGATGGAATAGGATTTTAGTTTTTTATTTGTTCTTATCAAATTTAGCTGGTGGGTTTTTAGAAGTTTTGACAATTATTTACAGCTTTGGATAGGAAAGTAGAAGGGTTTTTAAAGTTAACTGAGTGTTTGTTAATATTAAGTTGTGTACACAAAAGATTCATTTTATTTATTACACCTGATTTATTTTCTTCGGCCATTTTATCCGATATGTTTAAGCAGAGTTTAGCGATGCTGTCAGGGGGTTGATTTTCAAGGTGAATCCAAAACTTGAAAACTTGAAAAAACTAACTTGCCAGTGATTCTGTTGGCACAATTGTTGGCACTCCAAATACCCGTTCCCCCCCCCCCCCCCCCCCCCCCCCCCCCCCCCCCGCACCCCCCCCCCCCCCCCCCCCACCCCCCCCCCTCCCCCCCTCTTACCGCCTTCCTGAACGAACCCCAACGACGCCGTGCGGGACGGCTACAGAGCAGGAGCGACCCCCCGACCCACACCACACTCACAGCTACGAACGACCGCAGAACCGACGGCCACCCGGATTTTGGGCATTTTTTCCGATTTGTTTTAAGAGAGTTTGACGATGCTGTCAGGGGGGTGATTTTTAAGGGGAAACCAAAAATTGAAAAATTGAAAAAAACAACTTGCCAGTGATTTTTTTGGGACAATTTTTGGGCCCCCAAAAACCCCTTCCCCCCCCCCCCCCCCCCCCCACTCCTCGAGCACAAATATCACTTGCAGGGAAGAGTCTCTTCCAGGCTTTCAGATTGTAGGGATGGCGCAAACAGGACCAAACAGGGGTGGTGGACAGGAAAATAGTGACTTCGCGCCACACATCCCTATCTGAGCGTCTGAAACAGGCTAAAGATGAATCGCCGTATCGCAGGTTACCGTAAGCAATGATAGACTAGCTTTCTAACATGAAATGTTCTTCTTTGAGATACCTTTGATCCACGATGGAGTCACTGACCGCCAATCTTCTTGTTCTTTTAGGTGACCAAGGGATTTGCCACAAGAAGTTTGTTTTTAACAATGGAATCTGTTGAGGTGTTGAAGAAGGCGGATCGAAAGTTAACATTCATTCCTGTGCTGTTCATATTACTGCGCATGTGGGGAACCATAAGATTTTTCCGTTTCCTGGCCTGTTTGCCAGACTGTCACCACTCAGGACCACAACCTGCCTACAGATGGCTTGAAATTCTTCACGTGAGTATGCAGCCCCTTGAAATGCAGAAGATTGTCTTAGAAAACTCTTCCGTATTTACTTGTGTGTCGCCCTCAACCTCTCCGGTCTCAAGCGCCAAAAATGAAGGTTATGTTCACGCTATACTGGATAGCTTTTCTTGCCAACGCGAAAAGCTATTCGGTATAACATGAACAGCAACGGCACAGAACTGGAACAAGCTAGCCGGTTCACAGCCTCTTTCCCAGTCGTCCTGTGACGTCACCCGTCAAGCTTGTCGGGAAAATTCGCCTAGGTTATCGCGCTCGGTTCCAAACCTCCTCTTGTAACTCGGATAGCGCGAACTGGCCTGGGTACGAGGCTGAGTCGTTCATACACACACACACACATCGAACATCGTGCCGGAGCGGTTGGACGAGAGGGTTTGGTGAACTAAATCCCAGTCCTCATTGCCGAAAATTCACTTCCGTCTTATTGGATTCCGCTCCTTTTTCTACTTTATTCACTTCCGCTACGGTTCGACTATACCTGTGGCACACTACATCAAAGTGTAGTACAGAACGTACGCGATATATGAAGCTCTGATTCACTTTCGAGATCGGAAGCTCAGCTTCGCTCCGTTATGGTATGATTTTCGTGCCGGCGCAAAAGCTATCCAGTATAGCGTTAACATGGCCTTTAATGAGGACCTACTATAAAAAGTTCCTCTAGTCTTTTCCAGGTGTTCAGATAATGGGGAAGACGCAATGAAGTGAGCAGAAAGAAAGGGTGACTAGAACCACATATATATAGCATCCGCTCCCCATTTTGCGCCATTCTCCGCTACCTTTATGCCTTGAACAGTCTTCCACGTTTTCTCTTGTGTAGCCCCATGCCTTTAGAGAGATTAAGATTCACGTTTACGGCACACGGCAAACGGCAAACGTCAGTTGAGAATTTCTCAAAATAGAAAATAAGCAGATAAAAACAGTCCAGAACGATTCTTTTGGATAAAACTGGCATAAAACTACTTATTTTTGTGTAGAAGCAATAAACAGTAAACCAAAAATAAGGGGAAAACTTGGTCACGTGGTACAAATTCACGTTTGCCGTTTGGCGTAAACGTGAATCTTAATCTCTCTTTTGTTTAAGAACTCTCCGCAGTGTTGTGACCTAGCTACGTAGCTTGGAAAACACATGATCACTAGTTTTTATTAACTACCAACTTTATGTACTTTCAGGGTATTGGAGACTCCAGCCAAGGCTTTATAAATTTCGTTTTGTTTTGCCTGTTCACTGAGAAGATAAGAGAGAAATTTAGAGTTTGTGACCAGCACCCAGCAGTTTGTCGCCGCAGTCTGGAGACGTCAAACTCATTGCTTAAAAGTACAAATTACGGTGCGATAGCCTGAGGGAATGCATGTCAGAGGCACCCAACGAGAATATAGTTCAAAACCACTTAAACATAGCATCGATTAACGTATTTTAGTATTTAAACAATAGGTATAGGTATATTTTCATCTCCTAAAAGTTTTTCATCTGTTCGGATTTCCTAGCTGAAAGTCTAATGATCCAAAAATTATAGGGATCAAAACTTACCTTTTCGAAAATTTCAGCCAGAAAAAAGGCTCCCGACAATTTTAGGTGACCTTTTTAGAGTAATATGGGCAATTATACCATCTTTTATATGTTCGAAAATCCCAGGAGAGGCAGGCAAGTAAGAAATTTTACAACAAATGTTCCGAAAATTCTAGATCTCAAATCGCCTTCCGAGCAGATATTTTCCGAAAATTGACGCTGGGTGCCCCTGACATGTCAAAATAGTCAACCTGCTCAGTTTACAGTTTTAAGATATGGACGCAAAAGAGACAGAGTGAAGTCTCTACCGTGTTGCGGAGGTGTATGAATAGAGTGAAAGGTATATTCGGGGCCAAGTGAACTGTTCGTGATGATAGCTACAGCCGATATATACAGGACGCCACCAGCTGCATATCAGTTACAGCTGTAACAGTGCAATGTCTAAAGTTTGTATTTTTTGTACCGCACAAGTCTGCATTTTATTTTGTATTCCTAGAAAGGACATATTTAAGAACACTGAGTTCACCGTTTCAGTCGGATAAACCAGAAAAGTTGTCGGACACACCTTAAGGAATGGCGAATGGTAAAATCCGAGACCCGCCGAGACGCCGAGATCCTAGTTAGAAATCCGAGCCCGAGACTTTTTGGTAAAAAGTTTCGAGACTCAAAAAAAGTAAAAACAAACCATGAAAAAACGAGACTTCAAGACTTATCAAAAACGCTTCCGAGATTTCGAGATCCTGCCAAAATTTTCCGAAGCACACGTTTTTCGAGATAGCATTCGCCACCCCTACCTTAGTTGCGTACTTTTCAGTGTAACTTTTCTACGCGCGCTTTTTTCTCGTGTTCTTTAAGTTAGTTCGTTTTATGAGCCGAACTTAATTCGAATTAAAGCCGACCCAAATTATTTAGACCGGCTGAACTGATTCAGGCGCCGATCTTAATTGCAGCTGAACTAAGTTCAAAAGGCGAAAAAAATGCTTGCAAATACGTTATAATAATTTATGCATTAAGTTAGGTACATGAAAAGTTCGGCGTCTGAATCAAAGACGTTCCAAAGTCGCTCCAAAGGCGAAATTCCCGGCTGGGCTAGGCGAAAAGAACGGCTGAGCCGTTCCAAATTGAAACAGGCGTTCCTAACTGATTCAAACGCCGAACTTTTCAAGTACTTATTCAATGTATTAGGTTCGGCTCATTAAAAGAACGGCGTCTGAACGGGGCCTTACTGTACTTTTCTTCCATTTACAACACGAAACCATCAGAAAAAAGCGCTACACGGCAGGCCTGTAAGTAGGCTCACTTGCGCGAGTTCTGGAAATATTTTAGCGGCATTCTTCTCGCGCTCGCAAAATTTCCCCGAACTCCCACATGTGTTCCTGCAGGCCAAAGAGTAATAAATAGTACCCAGTTCCCTGGTATGCTTTCAATGAATTAACCTGTCAATCACTGTTATTGTCATCGGTGAATAAGTAATACATAATACCTTGTTAACTATTTACAAACAACTGATCAATCTCCGGCCAAACAGCCAGAACTAAACAGAAAGACGTGACTCATTTTGCGGCATCTAGTACTAGCACCCAAACTAACAAAGACAAGATCTCAATCCAGCTTTAAAAAGGTGAGTCAAATACTCCAGTAGAAAATGAGAGCTATACAATGTTTTCAATTACATTTTCAATATTTCTGTGTTAGTTTATGACAGCACGTACTAGATATTCATAGACTCTATTCTTTGCCTTTTGATATAAATGGCGTGATAACTGCTGTATGGCTAAAGAAGAACTCATTGAGCGCCTACAGCAACGTTATCACAGACGACTAGGTCTTATAACATAAGAGGTCATCAGGCCAATCCCGGCCCCTGTTTGCGCCAAGCGCGCTAAAAACCTTTATCGCTATACGTAATCGTCTCCTTGCCATTTTTATGGTGTTAATAAGATGCAACCTGCAACCGCATGCAACTGATCTAAGGTTATAAATTAAACTACACTACCATCGGCTTACATGTATTCTTATACCCAGTTCCTTTAAATCTACAAAAAAATCGTCACATCGTGTAAAGAACCTGAAAGCATGTTGTGGAACCATTCAAAAACCTTTCGCATTCAAGTATTTGAGTATAGTGGCAGAGATATGTTCTTTGGAAATTAATGATTGGTTGATTCGGTCGCTTTACTATATTGTACATTAACTTTCAGGACAGTTTAGAGATTTCCATTAAACTATTATATGCTCTCTTTTTTAATACAAAGCTGAAATTACTAGAGTGTTACAACGGATAAAAGCGATTCAAATTGATAATTAGGGAAAGTAAATCCACAACAAAGAAAAACCATTTCACTAATTGCGGAACTTTTGACCTATTTGCACGTCCGCATTAATTATTTAAGACGCTATTACAATATCGCATTATTGAAAAGCAGTTGCGTAATATACTTGTTCTCTGTACAAGAGAAACATTGAAGTAGCGCGGAATAACTGTAACAGGGGACCGGTTGCTCTGCCAAAATGAAAGAGGCAGTATTTTAATCTCATTTGTTTGAAAGCGTGTAAATGGTTTCTGCGCGTTTCATCATCCCCAGCGTGGTTACAAAGGAATGTTTTGAGTTACTTAGAATGACATACTGTTGAGTTAAATTAGTTTCAATAGGCTTTTTTCTTGCAGCATTCAGGACATGTCAAACGAACCTCAAACACCAACGCTGACTGTCACGGATGAAAGTGAAGATGTCACGGAAAAAGACCGCTCTCCTGCCGAGAACGCCTTCTACGAGTCATTTCTTATTCAATCAAGGTCCGCCATTGAAACGTTGTACGCCTCTAACATTTACCATAGTCAAAAGCACGCAAAACAAGTCAAAGATCTTGAACGACAAAAGCAGTACTGTATGTCTCAAATGAACAACGACCAGAAAGAAATGGTTAAAAAGATGGCCCAGTTACAGGAAAAGCAGGAAAAAATAATTGAGGAGAAACGAAAACAACGCTTGAAAGTTTTGTCAACAAAAGGTGATAGCAGAATAAGGCCGCACTCGACATCATCATTAGCAAATTGGGAGCCAAGGTTACTTCAACACAGGCAGAGATCAGGATCGATGCCATTTCTTGAGCCTATTGATGCAAATCTACTAAATCAAAGCCTATCCAAGTCTACTGAGAACATTCACTCCGATTCGTCTATGCTGAGTGCAAGCCTTCCAGCTAATGTTTTATCGCGGTCGTGCGAGGATCTATCCTCTCTCGGGAAAAAGAGAGGCAAAGTTGTTTTGCCTGCCTTGCCGAAGTCATCCCGAGCGATGTCGGTAGGGGATTCTTCGGAGGATTCCGATTCTACCTTTATAACCCGAATGTCCGCCTCGCCTCCGACCAAGCCTAAGCTTAATCTAAACTTGACACCGGCTTCCGGTTTCAAACCCGAACATCGTCGAGGATCTTTTGATCCTTCCATTTTAAGAGAAGCAGACAAACGGCGAGGTTTGAAAGCCAACAGTCCTCCAACGAGTCCAAAAAGTACTCATACAAAGTGGATTCCTAAGTCTTACGGTTTATCGCAAGCTAGAGGTCTTCCTCCAGTGTAGATATTCTATATATTATAAATCAGATTATGTAAGAACTAAATTTCAAAAATATTCCCTGGTACAGACACATTACACGAGAGTGTAATCTAATTAAGACTTGACTGAAAGATTTTTCTTCTTATAGGTCGAATTCTTCACAGCTTGTTTTTCTCTATTATTGCGTCGCATACGAACTAAAAACCGTTGTAAAGGGCAGGATCGGCTTTGCAGCACTCCAGAGAACAGCTAAGCATCAGCGGGAAGAATTACCACACCAAACATTTCCAGGTCTTATTCTTACAAATAGTACCAGCTTGAGAATCAAGTCTGGGGAAAAGGTTTTATAAAGAGTTCTTCTTAGGTAGTACCACATTGAAGTCGTCAGTCAAACTAGAGAAACACGATTGATGCAGATATTAGGGAGATTCTTGATCACTGTCACGGTAAACGTCAAATTGTATCACGTGACCAATGGGGCTTACCATTTGTCAGAACCAGGGCGGACTAGCAAGACCCTTTCAGTTGTATAAAAGAATTCCATTATCAGTAAAAAAAAAACTACAGACTAAAGCAAGATCAGTCCATTCCTAACTAGTATGCACGGCAATAATGGGTTTAAGCGAAAATGTAGAGAAAGGATTAAAATTTCATTACGGCAAACACTGGCAAACGGAAAAAGTCAATTTGCACCACGTGACCAAGGGTGCTTACCATCTGTGAAAACTTATCAAACCCGTTCAGTTGTAAAAAGAATTCCAGTATGAATCAGAAAAATACAGCCAGATCAGACCATTCCTGAATAGTATGCACGGCAACCTGGGTTTTACCGCAAGTTTAGAGAAAGGATTAAACTTTCGTTTTCAAACTGGCCGGTCATGCCGGCCAATTTTGACCTATAAAAAGCGCGCGCAGTTTTATCTAAACCTTTCATTTACGGTTCGCTATGTCTACAAGTTGTCGGTAGTTAGTTGTTTCACACCAGTTTCATCCTCGAGAATTAGTTTCCACAGTTTGTGATCTGTTGATTTCCTACTGAATCTGACGTTTTCCATCATTTGCGGTAAACGTGACTGTAAATGTCTCTATCGGCGCAAATTATAGTGATATTGTCTAAGTCAAGTCATTGGAAAGCTTACGCACAGCCGTTTTTGGGCGACGCACGTCAGCTGGAAGTAAGGACTTTTCCTCACTTTATTCTTATAGAGACGATTTGCCCGAAAATTTAGGGGAACCCAATGACCCAGAATTCATGATGTGCACTTCCGGTTGAAGCGCGTCGCTCAAAAACGTATGTGCTTATTAAATAAGCTCCCCGTTATTTTGTGGAGGGTATTAGAGGAAGCGGCTGGGAAGAGTATTATTGGGACTCCGTTACAATAATAATCCATTCTTGAAATATGTAGCTGAGTGTCGAGTATGACTGTTTTTTATGCAAGAAACTATATATTGAATTCCGTACTATTAGGGTGCTAAAAAGATAAGGATATCATAGTGAGCTTCTTCATTTATCTCGAGTCTCTTGTCGCGACTAGCTGGTTAAAAGTGGCGAGTTCTAGACTGCGGGACAATGAGTGTATTATTTGTCTTTAAAGTTAGTGGGATGGCTGGCGCGTGATCAACGAAGAGCACTCAGTCTCACGATTGGGCGTTTTCTTTTCTCGCGCGTTTCTTTCGACGGACAATTGAAGAAAGAGAGACAGTTCGTGATTGAGAGGAGTGCTGAACACAACATCAGCAGCTAGAGAAAATTGCGCCAACAAATGCGTTATGTACACATTGCTATTTCTGTTGTGAATCACGCGTGCTCTTAAATTTTTTTAAGTACTATATAATACGAAAGGTGTGTGGTCCTCATATAACTTGTGAAGTGCCTTAAGGCATATAGATTTCTCTTTAAGTCTTTCACCTCATTCAACAAAGTTGATGGTTGACACTTCTCGTATTTTAAAGACTCCGCGGCATATTTCTCGGCTGTACGTCAAAAACTACAGAATTCATATTCACACTCACTCACGTTTTCCTGCCGATCCAGACCGTCACAGAGTCAAAATGCTTCCAGATTGAAAGAAATAATGCGCTGAATAATTGTTGCCTGCCTCCTCTTTCTTTCATACGGCACGCAAACGGCTCTGAAGCTACAGTAGTAGCGTTTAATTACGAGTCTGTCCATTTGGGGGAGTCGCAAGAAGTCATGCGTGAGTGGCTCGGGGCTTTACTCGTGGCTCGCAATGGAGAGCTTGCTTGCAGGCTATCCAATTAATGTGTGATCAACGGGGACTACCCTAACTTTTACATTATACGTGTGCCACTTTCGTCAAAAGAAGAACGCTAACAGTCTTTTGAGACCTAGTAGCCTTTTAATTCCTTATTTTACAAAATTAGCTTAAAATTACCTTTAGAGCTATAATTGAAAATTTTTCCTAATAAATGTTCATAGTTAAATGGTATCCTTCTCTAAAAGGTCTTGAGACTTGCCGCATTCAAACAATTTATTCCACATGAATTTCATCACAGCGAAATAAAACGTCGCCTCTGTTGCATTCAGTACGATCCCCAATGCCTGTAAACCTTTAGGTCTGTTCTCAAACTCGTGGATACCGGTAATATCCAAGGCAGCCTGAGAAGACATCAGCAGGAAGAGAAAAAAATTTTCCAGAAAGAACAGGATAAGAGAGAGATTGTACGCGTACAAAAGCTTTGAAGACCTGCCGAACTCGTCGTATGGTGCGGGTACAAAATTCCACAAGCAAACGACGACGAAGACGGTGATTTCGTCAACTATAAATCCAACTTCAATGACCGCGCTCCCAGGCAAATGTTCGTGAAAGAAGAGAATAGAATTGTAGGTGACTACCACGATTAGTTGGAAGAGGAAAGACCAAAACCGAGCCAGGCGGAGAAGACGAGAACAAACGACTTGCAAACCAGGAAACTTGGGGAGTTTAAACAGAATCGCAATTGCAATCAAGCCGCTTATGGCCGAAGTGAACTGCCAGGCGATTTCAAAATTGATGGGATCCGGGTAGCGCGTGAAGTTTTCGCACCGCAACGTGGCAAGCTTTGCTCTCAAGAAACAGTCTGTGGCATACACTGAATACAATACTATGCTAACAAATCTCCATATTAAAAAAGCGAAGTAAGCTACTATCACAAGAAACCTGCCGTTTATACGTGTGTCTGCATGTAGTGGATTTTCCTCTTTCCCCTCATCTACTGATTGTGTCGTGTAATTGCTTATACTACTTCGGTTAGTTTCGTCCTCATTTGTTGGCATACGCTTCTGGGGAAAAAAGCCATGGGTACTTCAACGATTAAACTCGCTGAATGTAAGCCAGAAGCAACTGAAGGAGCCCGAAGAGTCTGATCACAACCGACACCAGTTGCGTGGTTTCATTATTTATTATGATTACGTGGGTTAGTGGAGCGATTTATTGACTTAAAACAATCGTTGTTGAACTGCTCGCTCAGTTTCTCCCACAAGGCTGGGTAGTGTTGATGGGGTTTAGGTAAAATTATCGTATTTTGTGCTAAAAAAACTGTGCTTTTTTAATCGAAGTGAAAACAAAAAAAGAGAAAAAATTAAAGCAGGCGTCAACGCGTTGCACGAATTCCGATAAATTCTCAAATAACAATGAATAACTCACTGATAACAGGTTCCAATCAGGATGGTGGTGAGATTAGCTGCAATTATCAATCATCTGCAGGTGTTTACTGACTGAGTAGAGGGTATAGACTGCGAATAGCCTCTCTTCTGGTGGTCATGCGCAGAAGAGCTTTGGGGTCGAGATTGCTCTTTTTCTACCGATTTAGTGATGGGAGTGCGCTTGCGCGAGCGTCAAACGACGAATCCGACCTTTATGCCCCTGTCGCTGGAACCCCCTGCCCCACCTCCACCAGGGAAAGGTGGGGCATTAGCTACGAGGCAAAACAAAAATCTGATAAAACCCCATGTTAAGGGACACCTTGTATGTCAAAACCCCAACCAAACGAGGACAAACTTCCCCACTCAGGGTGCAAGCTCAGTCTCTGTTAGTTACCTAGAAAAGTGAGGAGCATGGTGTGGTTTTTCCAACGTAAATAAGCCAACTGTATTAAAAAAAAAGGCACAGAAATCAAGAATTCACAGGTACTTGAAAGACATTCTACTTAAAATAGTCAAAATAAATCAAAATATTGCTAGAAATCCCGAAATAACTGAGATAATTTAAGCAGAACTATGTAAAAGATAACTTCACCACTGGACACAAATCAATGGAAATGTGATAAAAAGTGACCTAAAACACTGATGGGCTCTCTTTTTTAAGCAAATATTTTAGCAAATGATCTGGAAATCCCCTTTTGTTGTCTGCCCATCTTGAGCTCGTTTCTTTGCTCGGCCTTGAGCCTGGCAACCATTCTCTAGCTCGATCCAGACTCCTCTCCTACCTCGATATAAAAATTGCCAATCCCCCACCCCAAGGGAAAAGGAAAGAACTATTAAAAATGGACTAATCTCTCATCCCTACAAGCAAAGCAATATACTGAAATGGGTAAGTCCCCATCCCCTCCCGGCAATTAACAGGGCAAAGCCCCGACAAACCCCCAGCTATACCCCATATCTCCCCGGGGTGGGGGTTTCCAGTGACAGGTGCATTATACTCTCTTGGTGGCCACTGATTCCGCAGGCGAATCCCGGATTTAGGAAAAAAAAAGCGGTCCTTTACATTACGTTGACGTAAGGTGGCCTAACTAATATGATGTTTAGTTGTTCTTCTTCTACTTCAACTTTATTTAAATTTCGAAATATATTACAAAAATACATTGGGACTGGGACATTGAGTCGAGATTCTTTAGTACAAAATTGTTCGAAGGTTGAGGCACGTGTTTTGTAAGTATTAAGTATGAAATGTTTTGATCAAAGCTGTGTAAATCGAGCTGAAACTGTGCATGGAACCTTGCGTTTCCTGTGTTCACTGTGTATTTATCTCACCTATTGTGTGGAATATGTGTGAAAACATTATGAATCGGTATATTTCAAAGAGCTACAAAACGAGCAAGAATACCATTGACCGACAATATACAGAACGGGGGCAGCTATAGTGTCAACTATTACTAGTTTACAACATATTTACACACACAGGTAGCCCAAGCTCGAAATATGAACATCGGCGAGCATCGGCACAGTTGCGTAACATTCGAAATGTAAGGATTTGTATGGGGAAAAAACCTATCTTTTCTGTTTCCCACGAATGAAACGCTTTCAATAAAAAAAAACAGCTTACCTTACGTAAAATGTGTTACGTCTTTCCTGTGTGGTCCATGGGCCGATTTAAGGTCGTTTTATAGGTTGTACTGTAAACAGTTTTCTCTAAAAGGTTTATAAGGGAATAAAGGAATCTATTTATAAAGAGAGCAAACCGGTTCCAATAACTTCCCTTAAAGCGACATAAATTGGCTCGGAAACCACACGGGAAGAAGAAACACACAACGTAAGCAGGGGTTAGCCGATTTTTATTTAAATCGTTTTACATTCGTAAGGTACAGAAACAATTGTTTTTCTCCTATACAAATCCTCATTTTTTTAACGTTACGCAACAGTGTCGATGGTCATTTTTCGAACCTGTGTCACCTGTGATTTACAACAGACGATTAATGTGATTAGAACTGGCGTCTCTTCCGGTAAACGAAGAAAGTTAAACCAATCCCGCCATCTCTAGCTGACAGATTATGGCCTTTGATAATTTTACCTATTAAAATAAAGCGCAAGTTTTATTTTGTTTGGATCGATTTAATTT